TCAGTCACCCCAAGTGTGTTGACGAGGACCTCGGAATCTGGAGTTTCTCCAGTTCCCAGTCTTTTTTTTTTTTGTTAAAAAAAATTTTTTTTATTCTTGTGAGACAAGAGTCTTGCCGAGTACTCCAGGCTGGGCTTGACCTCACCATACGGCCCAGACTGGCCTTGAACTTCCAAGGATCCTCCCGCCTCAGCCTCCCCAGGGCTAGAGTGACATCACCACACGGGGCTCCGGTTCCCAGCTTGAGCTTTTTATCACAGGGGCAGAGAGTGATGACCCCTGCCTGTCCCCAGCCCTTCTCCCCACCGCTGTCTCCGGGACCCCTCGGCTCACCTCCCCGAAGTGCATGTAGATGTACTCGCGGGCGCGCTGGTGCAGCTCGGCGCAGCCGATCTGCTCGGCGAAGTTGGCAATGCCGATGGCGTTGCTGGGGTCCAGCTGCTCCACCAGGAAGTCGCTGCAGGCGCGCACCACGCTGTCAATCTGGTACATGACGGCGCCGTTCATGACGTGCAGCACGCACTTCTCGCCCATGGAGATGGACGCGGTGTAGGCGAACTCGATGAGCCGCTCCATGACCATCGGGTGGATGCCCTCGATGGACACCACCTCCATGCCCTGCTCGCGCAGCCCGTTGGTGAACATGGCCTTGAACACCGGGCTGGAGGAGGCCAGCACCACTTTGTGCGCCATGAACTGCGCCGTGGGGAAGTCCTGGTACTTCACCTGCAGGGTGACGTCGCACAGCTGCTGGCTGAGCCGCAGTTCGTTCATGATGCTGAAGGCCTGCTTCGTGTGGTCCTCCAGCGTGTAGCTGAAGGTGCGGTTGCCGTCCTGGGACGGGGTCACCTCGGCCTTGCACTCGGTGGACGCGTACATCACCGTGTCCCCGGCCCCCTCGGGGCACTTGGACTGCAGGGGCAGGAATCGGCCTCGGGCCCCCGCCCTGCTAGGCCTGGGTTCCGGCTGCATGGGGTTCCCGGTGACAGGGAGCAAGAGCAGGACTGGCACTCAGAGGCCTGGAGGAGGAGAGGACAAGGGCTGGGGGAGGACCTGGGCTGGGCCAGCACCTGCCAGGCCTCCTCTCGGAAAAACAGAGGGGTTCCCAGCCGGGTGTGTGATGTGTGCCTGTAATCCCAACACTCAGGAGGCTGAGGCAGGAAGGTGGCTGTCAGTTCAAGGCTAGTCTGAACTACATAGTGAAACCCTGTCTCCAAAAATAATAAACTAAAAAGAAAAACGTTGCAGTGGTTTTGTGATCACGTGGAAATCACTTTGTCACTCGCCGGCAGTTACTTTAAATCAGGGAGTCCAGGCCTGTGAGGTGCGGCTGGGGCAGAGACACAGGGGAGCCCAGGCGGCGAGGACAGCAAGTGCACAGGCAGCAGGCAAGGGGCAGTGTGGGGCCCAAGGAGCCCTGAAAGATGCAGGGATTCGTGGGGGCCGCCGAGACAGAGCTGGGACGCGCTGTTTTGAAAGGGGAACGTGGAGGGCCAGGATCGGCCGGTGTGCCCCAGGTTCCGGGCTCGACCCGGGCCACCTACTCTTTCCCTGGGGGCCGAAATGTTCCCCTTTGCTGCTTTTCCGAGACCCCTGTCGCCCCCGCCCCTGCACCTCGGAGCGCGGGGCTCCCCCTCCGCTGGGCCCCGCGCCCAAGGCCTGGCACCGCGCAACTGTCGCCTGGTTGGTCCGCGGTGACGGCTACCTGGGTGCCAGCGTACTACGGCTGGCAGCGCGCCCTCGCCCACCGAGCCCGGGCGTTGCTGGGGCCCCCGGCGGGCGCCGAGCTTTCGAGCCCGCTCGCAGGGTCTCCTGCCCGAAGGAGCCCGGGGTGCAGGGCGCCCCCTCCCCGTGCGCGCCGGGGCCACTGCGCATGCGCCGCCGGGCAGCGCCACCGAGGCCGGGAGCGGGAAGCGGCCCGCGCCGACCCTCGCCGGCGCCCCCGGGGCGCGCGCCGGGCCCCCCAGGAAGGCCTCGGGCCTGCGGGACGCGGAGCGGCCGCGTTCCTCGGGACTCCCGCCGAGCTCGGGGGCTCTCGGGCACCCGCGAGTGGCGCCGTCCGCCCCGGGATCGGCCGGGCCGCGCCCTCCGGCCGTGCTGGGGACCCGGGGGCGTCCGGGTGGCGGCGCCAGGCTCCCTGCGCCCCCCGACCCCAGCGCGGCGCCCCGCGGCCCAGGCCGCTCACTCACCCCGCCATGGCCGCGCCGGGCTCCGCCTCCGCCCGCCGGGCCCGGGCGCCTCCATGGCCGCGCGGGGGGGCAGCGCGCAGGTCACCGTGACTAAGCACAGGCGGCCGGCCGTGTCACAATAAGAGTCCCCGACCTGGCGGCGGCGGCGGGCGCAGCGGGGCCAGCACCTCCCGCCCGCGGACGACAGGCGCGCGGCCCCAGCGCGGGGGCCACGGCGGGGACGCCAGCGCGCGCTGGGCGCAGCGCCCCGGGTTCGAGCCCCGGCCGGGGAGGCTGCCGTGCACCCGCGCGCGCCCCTGCTCACCTCGGCCCCCGCGTGGCCTGCGCCCGAGAAACGTGTCCCGCGCGGTGGGGGTGCCCGGGCGCTGGGGCGGTGGAGGCGTGCGCCGCGCTTCCGGGAAGCCCGAAGGCCGCGGCCGGGCCCTGCAGATCCAGGGCAGCCGTTGGTGTCCGGGACCCGGGGACGCCGCCGCTGCCGTCGGGGGACCTGGGTGCCAGCCGCGGCGAGGTGGCGCCGTCGGGTGGGGGACGCGCGAGGAGGAGGCGGGGAGAAGGCGGGAAGGGCGCGGCGGCAGCCGAGGACGGGAGGCTCCCGCCCTGCCCAGGTGCGGGCAGGGCGCCTTCGCGTGTCCCCTCTGCCCCCATCTGCCTGGCTTCGTCCCGGGACGTCGCGACCAACTGAGTTTGGCTTTGCACAGCGCAGGGCTCGCGGTCCAGCCTCCCAAGGACCCAGCTGGACTTCTTAGTTACGTTTTGTTTGTGGACATAGCACCTCGCTGTGTAGCCACGCTGGCCTTGAACTCGCGGCGATCCTCCTGCTTCAGCCTCCCCCAGTGGTGGATCACAGACGTGCACCACCACGCCCGGCTTTAAAATTTATTTTAGGAGTCCATCTAAATGAAAAGTAAGCGAATAATACATGGACAATATTTTTTTTAAAAAAAAGTTTCTGAGGCCTTCAGGGTGCGTTTGACGAGCTCAGGGTCCGGGTTTAGAGTCTGGGGTAAAAAAAAAAAAAAAAACTAGCCAAGGAGTTGGGGTGGAATTTGCCCTCTTTGCAGAAAGGACAGAATCCAACCAGGTTGGTGGTGCACACCTGTCGTCCAGGCACTCAGGGGGCTGAGGCAGGAGGATTGCACGGAGTTTGGGGTCAGCCAGGGGCGCATGGTGATTTCAAGGCCAGTGATTTTAAGGCATGGTGGTTTTTAAGGCCAATCTGGACTGCATACTAATACCGTGTCTCAAATAACCAATTATGAAATAACTAAGAATTTCTTTCAGTTTATTTTGGGGGTATTGGGAATTGAACTGGGGGCCTTTGCACTCAGCACTTTTTTTTTTTTTTTTTGAGACAGGGTCTCACTCTGTAGCCCAGGCTAGCCTCGAACTGTCAGCAATCCTCCTGCCTCAGCCTCCGGGGTGATGACAGGCATGTGCCACCACACCCGGCTACCTGCATACCATTTAAATGTAGAGAATAACAAGAGTTGTAGACTGGACCCGCAGAGAGATGGTGTTCAGAGATGTAGCCACGTTTATCTGAGGCCCTGAGGATGGTACCCCTGGAAGGGATCAATGCCCTTCTAAAAATAGACCAGCAGAGATCTTGCTGTCTTTGCCAGCTGGAGGGACACAATGGAAGCCAAAGAGGGTGCTGTCAGGGAAACCCAAGCCACCATGGACTTCCAAACGGCCAGAACAGTAGGAATCTAATGCCTGCCATTTAAGTCGTGAGGTTGCGGTGACTCCAGCCTAAGCTAAGGCAGCAAGGTGATATGAATGCGTGTGAAGGGTGAGGGTGCGCGGCTGGAGATCCCAGCTACTTCGAGGGCTGAGGCAGGAGGATCCCTTGAGCTGAAGAACTTTGGGGCCAGCCTGGGCCATGTATCGAGGCCCGTGAAATAACATTAAAAAAAATGTGTGGATGAACTGCTGTGGTGCACACCTGTATGTAATCCCAGCACTGAGGAGGCTGAGTCAAGAGGGTTACTAGTTTGAACCCAACCTGGGCAATTTAACAACTTAGAACTTGTCTCAAAAAAACGGGGGGGGGGGCCTGGGGATTTAGCTCAGTGGCATAAGCACCTGCCTTGCAAGCAGGCGGTCCTGAGTTCGATCCCCATACAGATTAAAAAAAAAAAAAAAAGCCTGGCGTGGTGGCTCACACCTGTAATCCCAGCATTCTGGAGGCTGAGATGGGGGGATCTTTGCAAGTTCAAGACCAGCCTGGGCTACAAAGTGAGCTCAAGACCAGCCTGAACTGCTTAGTGAGACCCGGTCTCCAAAAGACAAAAAAGAAAAAGAAAGTCAGGTATGCATGCCCGTAATCTCAGCACAGTAGAAGCTGAGGCAGGAGGATCACTGTGAGCTAGAGGCCAGCCTGGGGTACATGCTGAGACCTTGTCTCAATAGAAACAAAAGGTTACTCTGCAGTTCATTTATATACAAAATAGTTCTGGAACATCCCCAGGAATCCCGCCAGTAATGGTGACCAGAAAGGAGAACTAGGTGCTTTTTTAAAGATTTAACTGGAAGACAAATCTACAGATCCCCTACCATTATGTGGCCAACAATCTCATCAGCAGAGGAGGCTTGGGGAGGCCTTGGGTACCCCCGGGAGATCAAATAGGCTGGGGACAGGGGACCCCGGGAGCGACCCCCAGCGGTAGGCTCCAGTGCACCTTTGTTCCTGAAATAGACTGGTTTACCATGCGCATGCGCATGGCATGCGGCGCCCCTCAGTGGCGGTCAGCGATGCGCCCCCAGATCCAGCCTAACGGCCTCCAAGGCTGCCTGCAGTTCCAAGGTCTCCCAGCAGGTGGCGCGCCGCAGCCCGAACCCAGTCAGACGCCCCCCGCCCCGCCTGCTCTGCCCCGCTGCGCTCAGGAATGTGTCTGGGGACCCGCAGGGGGCCCCGACCAGCGCGCCTGGAGCCTTTTATGGGCACAAATGGAACCTTGGTATCACTCCCGAGCAAGAATGCGACCCCCGCTGGAGGGAGGGTTGAGCTGGTCCTGCCTGCAGGACCAGACAGCCTGGGCTGGTCCTGGGCTGAGGGGACCCACCGTCAGTGGTTCTGGCCCCTAAAAGTAATGGGAACCCCTGTTCTCCAACGTTAAAAACACCGAGTGTGGTAGCACAGGCTTGTAATTGAGCCCTCTGGAGGCTGAGGCAGGAGGATTGCTGTGACTTTGAGGGCAGACTGGGTTACAAAGTGAGTTCAAGGTGAGCCTGAGCTGCACAGTGAGACCCTGTCTCAAAAAACAAAACAAAACAAAACAAGTCAGGGATGTAGCTTAGTGGCACAAGCACCTGTTTGGTAAGCATGAGGTCCTGAGTTTGATCCCTGGTACCCAAAACAATAATAATAAAAGAGTGATAAAATAATCATAATTCCAGATCTAGCTCAGTGCAGGGATCTAGCCAAGTACAATAAATGGTAATAACTCTAGTTATTTTATTATATTTATATTTTTAAAATAAAGGATCAGGGCTGGGGATTTAGCTCAGTGGCACCAGTGCCTGCCTGGCAAGTGTGAGGTTTTGAGTTCAATTCCTGGTACCAAAAAAAAAAAAAAAAAAAAAAAAAGGATCCCACACCACACTCAAAGAATTTGGAACCCAAGGCCTCATATTTGCTGCACAAGCAAGCATCGACCATGGAGCACGGCCCCAGCCCACAGTCCCTGAGATCCCAGCACTGTGGGAGGCTGAGGCAGAAGGATCTCGTGTTTGAGCCCAGTCTGGGTAACTTAGCAAGACTCCGTCTCAAAATAAGAAATAAAGGGGGAGGGGGATGTAGCTCAGTGTGAAGCCCTTGGGTCCCATCTCCAGGACTGCAAAAAATTAAAACAGATAGAAGCTTGTTGTTAAGACCTGAGTCTCCTAGCATCCTCTTAGGAAGTCATTTTGTTCGTGCTTACAAAGTATTCTTCATTTCCATCTGCAGGCTCCAAAGCATCTAGAACCCCGATGGTCTGAGCATATCAGAGGTCTTCATCATGACTCCTCTGGGCTTGTGCTGTCCCCGTTGTCTTCTGACTCCCATGCAATATGCCTTTGTCAACCCTGTCATGTCATCTGTCCTTGACAGGTCTCATTCTTTCTCCAACTCACGGTTGTAGCCAAGACCTTCCATTTGTGGGACCCACGAGGATATCCCTACCCCAGGGCCTTTGCACTTGCCGAATCCTCATCCTGAAATGCTTTGGCTCACGTGTTCCCAGCACCACTTATCTCAGCCCACATCACATGTCACTTCCTCTGTACCGTCTCCTGCCTGAGTTGTCACTTATTGTATCACTGCAGTTTGTCTGTGTCCCTCTAGAATGTCAGTTCCATGAAGGCAAGCAATTTTTGATGTTTGAGGCTGGATCTCACAACGTGGTTCTCATCCTGGCCTCCAGCTTTTTTTGTACCCCATGCTGGCCTCAAACTTGTGCTCCTCCTGCCTCAGCCTCACAAGTGCTGGAATTATTGGTATGCACCGGCAGGACTGGCTCAGGCATTTTTGTTTGTTTGTTTTTTGCTGTTCTGGGGTTTACATTTCCCTGTGTCTTTTCTTTTTCTGTCATTTGCACCTATCTTTCCTACAAATTTTTTATTTAAAAAAGTAAACGTCTTCAGAATAGCTCTTGGGAAGGGCAGTGGGGGTCAGTCGGCAGCGGGGCCAGACACCAGGGTCCCGGCAGCCGTGGCCGCACCGGGGCTGCCCGAGGAGCCACTGGTGTCCGGGGCATCACCCTGGCGCGAGGAGTGCTCAGAGCGGCTGGAGCTGAGGTCCAGGCCGGGGGACAGACAGCGTTGCCTGCCCCCGGAGGTCCCCGCCGCGCTCCCCGAGGGCTGGAAGCCGGCAGGGCGTGGGCCACAGGGGCGGCGGCCACAGCAGAGCAGCTGCAGGAGCGCGTGGCGCAGGTCGCGGTTGGTGAAGGTGTAGATGATGGGGTTGAGCAGCGAGTTGGCCATGGCGAGGCCCAGGAAGGGGTCGGCCTGCAGGAGCACTGGGCAGGCCCGCGCGGGACACGCCACGTCGAAGAGGAGCAGGAGGAACAGGGGTCCCCAGCAGGCCACGAAGGCCAGGAGCACCACGCTGAGCGTGCGCAGCAGCGCCAGGGAGCGCGGGGTGCGACGCCTGCGGGTGGCGCCCCCCCTGCCGGAGCGGGTCTTGGCGGTCCCGGGGCGCGCGCGCAGGCGCCGAGCGTTGGCGCGCACCCGGCAGTAGATGCGCGCGTAGAGCGCGCAGATGGCGCCCAGGGCGCCCACGAAGACCAGCACGCAGAAGAGCACGTAGGCCTTGGCGTAGAGCGGCAGCACGGTGGAGCAGGCCTCCAGGCGGCCCAGGCAGTTCCAGCCCAGCGCGGGCAGCAGCCCCAGCACCAGTGACGCCCCCCAGGCGGCGGCCGCCAGCGCCAGCGTGCGCCCCCGACTGGCCGCGGGCGCGGGTCCCCGGCGCGCCATGGTGAGGTGGCGCTCGAGCGCGATGGCCAGGAGGCTCAGCACGGACGCGGCGAGCGCCACGAAGACGCCGCCCTCGCGCGCGAACCAGAGCGCCGGCGACAGTCGCAGCGTGAGCGGCCCGGACAGCAGGATGTTGGTGGCGTAGGCGGCGCCGGCCAGCAGGTCGGAGAGCGTGAGGCTGCCAAGCAGCAGGAACATGGGCGCGTGGAAGCGCGGGTGGCGCGCCAGCACCAGCAGCACGGCCAGGTTCTCCAGCACGATGAGCGCGCACACGGCCAGGCACACGGCGGCGTCCGCGCGCAGCCCCGCGCCCGGCTGGTAGCGCGCCCCGCGCAGCTTGCCCGTGTAGTTATAATGGAGCACCAGCACCTCGCTCACCGGCGCCGGCCGCAGCAGCCCCGGCTCCATGGGCTGCCGCCGCGAGGCTGCGGAAAGGATAAGGAGTCCGTCAGCCGGAGGTTCCCACGGTACTGTCCCGGGGCGTGTGGAGGGTGGGCCGGGCTGAGGAGCCCGAGCCCCGCGCACTGCACCCCTTCCCCCGCGCGAGCACACCGGTCGGGGCACAGGGAAGTTCAGGGTGCACAGGACACGGGCAGGCGCGCGCACAGTATCCGGATGGGACAGAGTGGCATGCCTTGCTGTAAACAGAAACGCTGAGCCAGGTGTGGGGGTCGAGCCCGGCTGGGGCAGGAGGACTGCGATGTCCAGCTCGGTGGTGACATAGTAACAGCTTGGTGAGAGGCAATCTCAAAATAAAAAAAAAAAAAAATTAAAAAGGGCTGGGGAGTTGGGCGTGGTGGCTCACGCCTGTAATCCCAGCACTCAGGAGGCTGAGGCAGGAGGATGGTTGTTAGTATGAGACCAGCCTGGGCTAGAAAGTGAGCTCAAGGCCAGCCTGAGCTGCATAGCGAGACCCTGTCTCAAAGAGGCCAAAAAAACAACCAAACCACCTAAAATTATAATGGGGCTGGGAATTTAGCTCAGCGGCATAAGCATCTGCCTTGCAAGCAGGTGGTTGTGAGTTCAATACCTGGTACTGATTAAAAAAGAGACAAAAATAAAGGGCTGAGAGCTCAGTGCAAAGGCCCTGGGTTCTAAACACACACACACACACACACACACACACACACACACACACAGAGTAACATGGGCACGCATACACATGCAGATGAAAAGTGCAAAACACACAATCACACACTCCTGAAACACAGGAAGACACAATGACCATACATGTGCAGGACACGGGGACTCAGGCCTGCTTTCCCAGCACTCTGAGAGGCTGAGGGTCGAGGATCACAAGTTTGAGCAACTTAGCCACTCAGCAAGACCCTGTCTCAGTGTACACAGAGCTGGGAATGCAGCTCGGTGGAGAGGCCTGGCCTCAATGCCCAGCACTGCAAAAATAACAGATGAAATACAGGGATAGAGACTTAGACAGAAATGCACAGCAGCGATCATTCCGTCACACAGAGGCCCACATGCGCTCATGCTCAGTGGCACAGGCCACAATTTCACAACCTCCACCCACACCCATCCTGGGGCCCTGGGCCCCACACCCCACACCACTTGCTGAACTCTGAGTTTCCTCCTACTAAAAAACTCTTCATCCTGGCAAAACCCCCTGTTCTGAAGCTATAGCCCCCCACCCGTGTGACAGAGGAAGGGCCCCAGGACAGCAGACAGGAGCCCTGGCAGCTTTTCACATAGGAACACGCGTGTCATTACAGCATAATAACGCTTCCCACTTGGGATGCAGCTCTGTAATCCTCTTGGCAATCACCCCCTTAGTCCCAGTTCACAGAGGAGGAAATTGAGGCTCAAAAGAAAAACTTTTCTTTTGCCAGACATGGGCTTCCTATGGAGTCCAGGCTGGTCTTGAACTCACTATGTAGCCTATGCTGGCTTCAAACTTTCAGCCATCCTCCTGCCTCAGCCTCCCAAGGCTGGGATTACAGGTGTGCACACCACGCTTGGTTTAAAAGAAGCTCTTTTGAGAAATGGCTTTCCTGTCCTTCGGGTCCCACTTCAGATTTGGGAGGGGAAGGAACACAAGGACTCCAGATGGCTTCAGTCACACACTGGGACCCACACACTGGGCAGACTGGAGGTTGTCGGCTCTGTGGCGCAGAGACCAGAAGACGCCAAACACAGAGCCAGAGGCTGGCGGCTGTGAGATGGGGATACACCCGGGGGTCTTATCCGCAGCCCCCTCACCCTGCACAGATTTAGAAACACTGTAGTAGCTCCACTTAGAGAGAGTGAGGCCCGGGACCCTACACCTCCCTGGGGAAACCTCTGCCTGCTTTCCTGGAGGTCTGGGGAGACGATGGGGACGCCCCCCAGCAAGATCGCTGGGCCTTCCCCGCCTGCTACCTCGCCAGCCCAACACCTCCCCACGCCAGAGAGCGCCCCAAACCCTCAGAGGCCCGAGCGGGATACTCACCGTGTGCCCCCACCGTGCGCCCTGGCGGTGCTGCTGCCCCGAGCCTAGCAGGCTCTCGGGGGCGGGGCTGGGGCTGGCAAGCGAGGGGCGGTGCCCGGTGGTGCCCACCCCCGGGGCCCGAGAACACAGCCCTTGGCTGCCAGCCTGTGCCACCCGCCGCGGCACCGGAGAGCGAGCCGGCGGCGACTGGCACCGGTGAGCCCGCGGCTTCCCCCTCCGGGCCTGGGCTGCGCTCCCGGGCCGGCCCGTCGCGGTGGGAGGACCGGAGGCCAGGGAGTGGGAGGGGTCCGCAGGCGTGGCCGGCTGGATCCGAGCCACCTCCCACTGCGCACCCCCAACGCGGGGCCAGGCTGGCGTCTACAGCGGTGGTCACTCCCCACTGTCCGTCCTCTCTCTACCGAGCCCCCCAAGATTGCACCACAAGTGCGCCCGGCGGTGCAGGACCCGGTCAGCGCAGGTCAGGAGGGCTCACCCGAAGGGGCCTCAGTAGTTGGCCCCTTGCTGTCTCGCCAGCCCCCTACCCCGGCTCCGGGCGCAGGCCCCTCCCCAAAGCTGGCTTCCACTCGGGGCCCAGGCGCGTGGAGGAGGGGCGGGAGCAGACAGGGTCGCCCGGAGAAGCCTCCTGCTCCCCAGATGAGGAGGGTCTGGCTCGTCCCGCCCCCTGGTTCCAACATTTGCCCCTCCTCGTCCCTGCCATCTAATCGCTCCTGACAAATGTGATTTACTGCTCTGTTTCCGAACCAGCCAGCGTGTGTGGTGGGCACTGCGGGGACACAGTAGGTGCCTAACCGGTGTCTGCTGAATAGTGAGAGAGCGGGGAGTGGGGGCCCCCACCTTCATCCCAGCAGTCAGGAGGCTGAGGCAGGAGGATCGCAGCCAGCTGGGAGGGGGCACCTGTTGATCCCGGTGCTCCCTGACTGCGTGAGCCCTGCTGTGCAGCGCTCTCTCTCTCTCTCTCTCTCTCTCTCTCTCTCTCTCTCTCTCTCTCTCTCTCTCTCTCGGTCACCTCTGTATGACTGTCTCACGCCTCTCTAGCGGGCCTGTCCCAGCTGGCCCTGCCACACACACACACACACACACACACACACACACACACACTCAGCTCCCCCTGGGCCCGCTCCTCCTCCCTGCTCCTCCGCTGCGGGGACCGGGGTTGAGGGTGACCGCGGTGCCTTCACTGCCGCTGCGCCCTTCGCCCTGACCACCCTTGGCCTTGCTGGTCGCGCTGGGGAAAGGGTGACCCAGAGACTGCGGTGGGGGTGGCTCCTGATGTGTCCCTACTGGAGGGGCCACCGGGGCGCCCGCGCCAGGCTGGACGCGCTTTTAGTCCTTCGGGGGCCTCGCAGACCCCGCCCCCGTGGCCCCCCTGGGACCTGGACGGCTCCAGTCCAGGCTCCTTCCCGCCTCCGGTGTCGACCAATCAGAGTCAGCGGGGGGAGGCGCAGCCAATGGGCTCGCTGGGGCGGGGGGCGCGCGCGGCTTAACCCCTCCAGCCCCGGCTCCGGCGGGGTCTTGAGCTTCCGCGGAGGGGAAGAGGCGGCCGCGGGGAGGCGGCCTTTCACACCCGCGGGGCGCCGATCTCGCCCGCGTGGGGGGCGGGGGACGCTTCCGGCCGCTGTCCCGCGTGCGCCTTTTTCCCACGGAGTGGGGGCCCTGGGGACTCGGGGCGTCGTGTCTGCGATCCACGTGAGGAGGCCGCGGACGCCCGAGCCCCCGCCCCGCGTCTCTGCAGCCGGGTTCCTGTGAGGCGCCTGCTCCGCGGCCTGCGCGGCTCCCGGGTCGCTCGGCAGAGCTTCACGCCCGCACCGGGCCAGCCCTGTGCCGTCCCTCGCGTCTTTCTACGTCCGCCTGCGTCCTCCCGAGCCTCCAAAAATTCAAAATCTTGGAGCACAAGGGTCTTTGGGCGTCCGTCCATCTCTTTCCTCAGTCTTCTGTGTCTCTTTTTGTTTTGGAGACTCAATTGAGATTCTCAAAAAAAAGTGATTCTCATGCCTCAGCCTCCTTAGTAGCTTGGACTACAGGCATAAGGCACAGGGCCTGTCTTCCTTCCTCTCAGTGTCAAATGTTGTGTGTGGCACTGGGGGTTAAATCCGGGGCCTACAACCCAACTCCTGCTTATTTTAGTTATTTATTACTTACTTATTTTTTTGGCATTGGGAATTGAACTCAAGACCTTGTGCTTGCCAGGCAGGCACTGTGCTGCTGAGGTAAGTATATACCCGGTTTCTTTCTTGTGTGTGTGTTGTCTTTTTGAGACAGGGTCTCGCTGTGCAGTTCAGGCTGGCCTTGAGCTCACTATGTAGCCCAGGCTGGTCTCGAACTCACAACACTCTTCCTGCCTCAGCCTTCCGAGTGCTGGGATGACAGGCATGAGCCACCACGCCCGGCTATATATCCGGTTTCTTATTTATTATTTTTTAACGACAGGATCTCACTCAAGTGCCAAAGTAGAATTACAGGTGTGTACGAGCATGCCTACCTATTGTTTTTTATTCCACTTTGTTTTGTCTTGTGTTTTGAGACAGGGTTGCACTGTCATTCAGGCTGGATTTAAATCCACTATGTAGCTCAGGCTGACTTCGAACTCATGGGGGTCCTCCTGCCTCAGCCTCCCACATGCTGGGATTATAGATGTGCACCGCCACATCCAGCGATTCTTCATTACTTTTTTTATTTCTTTGTGTGTGTCTGCCCTAGAGTGTCAACTCCACAAGGCAGGAACTCGGTTTGCCCCTGGAATGGAGAGGCCCCTGGAGCCTTGACACCCTCATCTATAAAGTGACCATAGCAGTACACAACAGCAGGGCTGATGTGGGGACGGCAGACGTCTGAACAGACACAGGCATACAGTAGGCGCTCCAGAAGTGTGACTGCAGCTGGTGCCTTCGTGGCACACAGCTTTCACCCCAGCACTCGGGAGGCTGAGGCAGGAGGTTCTCTGCAAATTCCAGGCCAGCCTGGGCTACACAATGAAAGCTGTCTAAAAAAGCCTATGTGGGTATTTTTGTTCCGCCTGTACCCACAGAGGAACTAGGAGGGACCCCCACCCAGCCCTAGGCACCTCCACCTGCCCACCCTCCCCGCTCCTACTGGCCAGGCCAAGCGGGTTTCACCCCAGCCCGGCTCTGCCTGGTGCCAACGCAACAGAGGCCTGCCTGGGCCGGCACCTGCCCAGCCGGTTCGGGGCAGCACCTCTGCCCACAGCGCCCACTCTGCAGCTGGCCTGCACCTCCCAGGAGGTGAGAAGCCCTGAGGGGGCCGCACCCAACCCCCACCCTGCCCAGGCACCCTGCCCGGCGGGCTGCAGTGGGGCTCCCCCAGCCCACACCCCACAATCCCAAGATCAAACCTGGCTACAGAGCAGGTGGGCTGGGCTTGGGGGGGTCTCTGGTGCTCCCCTCCCCCAAGCACTGCAATCCTGCCGGTGAGGTGGGTGGCTTTGTGCCCATGGGTGCACCCTAGAGTTGGGTATGTAAGCAGATTTTTTTTCATGTACTGGGAATTGAACCCAAGGCCTTCACATGGAGCTTGCCCAGCCTAAAGCTTGTCTAGTTTTCATTTTATTTATTTGTTTTGTTACCAGGAATTGAACTCAGGACCTCGAACTTACCAGGCAGGTGCTGTCAGGCGCTGAGCTACATCCCCAGCCCCTATTTTGATTTTTTAAGACAGGGTTTCACTATGGAGTCTGGCCTTGCCTGGAAACTCACAGCAGTCCTCCTGCATCAGCCTCCCGAGTGCTGGGAGGCTTCATCCTACTGAAGTAGAGGAGAAAATACAATCAAATCTTCCTTGCAGATGAATATTGATGTATAAGTGTGGAGTGAAGGGTATCACTGCCCAGCTTCCGGGGCAGAATCCACTAATTAATGAACACTGGTGGCCCATTTTGAGCCCAGCCTGGGGCACCAGCAGCCTCAACTCACCTCAAGAGGAGACACAGCTTAGTAGGGGGGCCTTGTGTACCTTGTGTAAGGTGTGCAGCAGGCTGGAGGCCTCAGATCCTCCCCCAATACTGCAAACAATAACACCAAACAAAAGAACCTGGCCAGGCCAGGGGACTCAAACCTGTCATCCCAGCACTTAGGAGGCTCAGGCCAACCTGGGCTGCATCTCAAAAACCCAAACAAACAAACAAACAAATCACAAAAAAACACCCAAAGGTGAAAAGATTTCTAAGGAGAAGGGGGACATGTGGCTTGCCTCCAAGTTGCTTCTTTAAAATATTTGTCAATTATAATTAATTATAATTTATCAGTACTTGTAACATTTTGCTCACAAATTCTTTTTTTCTTGTTTATGTTTTCCTTTTAGTTTGAATAGGATCTTGCTAGGCTGCCCAGGATGACCTGGAAATCCTGGATACAACAGATTCTCCTGCCTCAGCCTCCCAAGTAGTTGGAACTGCAGATGTATGCCTCCATTCTTGGCTGGATTCATCTGTTCTGGATAGTTCACAAAAATGGACTCATGATGATTGTGTTCAGTATCTATCACAGACGTGCACTAATACATTTTTCAACTGGGCATGAGGTGCTTGCTGGTAACCCTAACCCTCAGAGGGCCGAGGCAGGAGCATCTCCATGAATTTGGGGCCAGTTCAGGACCAATATATACTACACACGGATACTCTGTCTCAAAAAAAACTCCCAAAACAGTTTTGTAAGAGATAAACCTACAGGGGCTGGGATTTAGCTCAGCGGCATAAGCGCCTGCCTTGCAAGCAGGCAGTCGTGAGTTCGATCCCCGGTACTGATAAAAAGGAAAAAGACAAAAAAAAAAAAAAAATGAAGTCATATACTACGTGACATTTTCTGACTGGTTTCTCTTGTCCAGTCTGACATTTCAGCATGTTCCCATGCTGTAGTGTGACTTCGGAGTTCTTTGTTTATTTTATTTTTATTTTTACTTGTTTACATCTTTATTTTTGCAAACAGAATCTTTTTTTTTTTCTTTTCTTTTCAAGACACGGTCTCACTATGCAGTTCAGGCTGATCTTGAGCTCACTGTGTAGCCCAGGCTGGTCTCAAACTTGTAAGGATCCTCCTGCCTCAGCCTCCCGAGTGCTGGGATTGCAGAGTGCACCACCACACTCGGCTCAAACAGAATCTTTCTCTGTAGCTCAGACTTGCTCCCCATCAGGATCCTCGTGCCTCAGCCTCCTGAGTGCGAAGCTCCCGCCCCAGGGAGGAGCCCGGGTGTTTAAGGCTGAGTACCACCTTAAGGTTCTATGTCGCTTCCCACGGGGCTAGGGCTGGAACCTCACACCCCAGCTAGGAGCCCCTCACCATTGCACTGCCCAGGGCTGTCTCCCTACAGGTAGGGCCGGTGGCTCCATCTGGCTTTGATGTGGCAGGGA